CGGGGTCTAGACGCTTGTGACCTAATTCTTTCTGGTTTGGTAGGGGCCGGTTTGTTTTTGTCATTTTTCTTTCTTTCTTGGTTTTTAGGCTTGCCTTTTCAACAATTAACAACCCTACAATTCTTTTCTAATGGGATTTGGTTTTTGCTTTTTTAATTGCTTTTTTTTATTTTAATCATTTTAATGAATTAAATTTACCTTTTGATTTCATCCTCTTTTTTTTTCATTTCAGATTTGATCTTATTGTTATTTATTTTATTTTGGATTTATTTTTTTGTTTTACGATTTTATTCGATATTATATTGAGTTTTTTAAATTAATTTTTTTATTTAATGCTTTAATATTAGATTGAATTTCTTGATTGATCTCATGTTTAGAATTTAATAGGTTGTAAATTTGAAGGAAGAACTCAAATTTAAGGGATTTGTCTAAGTTTATCTTTTGTTTTTTTTTCTCCTTTCCCCCATCATTTTGGCATTTTTAGGTCTTTTTATATTTTGTTATTTGTTGGATTTAGCTTCTTTTTAAAGATTTTTTAATTAAATTAAATTAATTATTTAATATTTACTTTAAAAAAATATATCATCATCTCTATTTATTTTAATATTTCATTAAGGATAGAAAAACAAATAGGACTCATGATGTAGAAATTATTTTTTTTCTAAACTTATATTTTTTTTAAGAAAACAAATCTGGAAACAATTTGGTATAATTCACAGCGAAACACAAGCCAATAGGCTTTAGAATACAAGTGTTGGATTTAAAAAGATATTGAATGATTAATTAGTTTACATGGGGTTGTTTTTACCTAACCAAAATCAACTCGCAGTAGTGATAAAGAATAATATGTATCGAAATCTAAAAAACTTATAAATAAATATTCAAATATTGAAAAAAAATCTAAGTAATAATCAAATAATGTTAACAAAACAATATGATATGTTTTTTCTTAAAAAAATTATGATCACCTCATAAATGACTTCGCTAGTACAGGTGTCATCAAAGGAATCATTCAACTAACCGTCAATTTTCTACATAAAAATGAAGTGTATCACACAAATACACACACGCACATATTAAAAATAAAGTATATCAATCATATTTAATACTTTTTTAACTTTTGAGTAACTAACCTCTTTAAGAATCATATTATCCCTAGATTGATTCCTAAAAATCAATATACATTCAATCATATAGAAAAACTATATATATAAAAAATTATTATACGAAAAAAAAATCAACATATGAATGATATGACCCATTTAATGATCATACTACCACTTGATTTTTTTTTATTAAAAATTGAGCTTTTTTTATACATAACCTACCATATATATATTTTTAAGAAAAATTGTTTGAATCACACGTAAATTAAACACATCTATAAAAATAAAAAACACTCACTTGTAAAACCAAACCATTATATTGTTTTGCAACCTGTCTTCTCAACCCTATTATGTGGTTTTGATCTCGCTTTATCACATCTTCAAAATAGTTCCTCAATGATTTTATACCATTGCAATGACATTAACCCTAACACATAAAATAATAAAATTTTATTTGGGGTTTGAATTGACCTTTAAAGGCTATTATAATCAACTAGAAAATTAGGTAATGTTAACACATTAGAACCATGTGTTAGAGCATTAATTGGGTAATGTCATCACGTAAAAACCATGTGCTAAAATATTGATTCTCCTATGTTTGGTAGTATATATGATTTTGTGCGGCGCCAAACATGTTAAAAGCATAGTTGGGAGACACAAAAAAGATCAATTTTTTTAGATTTTGTGATGACTTTCTTTTTAAGATTTTTTGGGTTTGGTTTAAATTGGTTTCTTGTTGTGATTTCTGTTAGGTTTTTTGGCAAATTTGATTTTGATTGAGGGGTGATTGAGGGTTGTGATTTCATAATTCCAGCATTAAATGTGTTTCAGGTTTATTAGTATTTGGTGTTTCAAATGATATCTTCTATATTTTATCTTTTTACCTTAGGATATTAAGGACAATGTCTCGTTTTGGTTGGGAGAAAAAGGGTAGTAGTTGATATAAAAAAAAAACTAACTATATTTTTTATTTTATGAACTACTTGCAAACTGTTGTTACTAAGATGACAGAGTGAAGAGGAATTTTATTGACTCTTGAGACGTATCTTGGTTAACATTTTTCAATGGTTATTT